GAAATAGCTTCTTCTAACTACATGAATGGTTGCTTCTCCAATTCTAAAACTTCAATAAAAATGGAAAAGATTAAATTAAGCAAAGTTATGAAAATTTTAAGTGACAACATATCAATATATGCATTTGATTATGAAGACAGTTTCCTTCTATTCTTACTTGCATCGCAACCATTTTTTTCCTATAAAGCTAATGTTGAAACAACATTTCTCTCAAACAGACTGCTGGTCGTATGACCCTGTACTAGTTTTGGCTGGGATAGAGCTAAATTTCTTCACAGTACTTTGTGCAAATGAAAACAACAATGCTATGTTTTGAATTTGTGATGAAAACAGTATTGATAACATACCAGTGGTTTAGTAATTGCTGAGCAATGCTCATACAGCACCAACACCTTTTTTGTGTCTCACACTGCCCTGCCAGTGAGTAGTCTTGGGGTGCACAAGAAGTTTGGAAGGGACCGCTGACTCCAACTGACCAAAGGGATATCTCATACTATGTGATGTTAAGCTCAGCCATAAAAAACTGAGGGAAGGAAGGAGGAAGGGCAGGCGCAGATGTGGTTGCACTGATGGCACTTGTCTTCCCAACTAACTGTCAGGCATAATGAAGCTCTGCTTTCCTGGAAACAGCTACGCATCTGCCTGCTGATGGGAAGTTGTGAATTAATTCCTTATTTTGCTTTGCTTGCACACACAGCTTTACCCATTAAACTGCTTTTATCTCAATCCATGAGCTTTCTCACTTTTACCCTTATGGTTGTGTCTCTCACTGCAGGGGAGTGAGCAAGTGGCTGCGTGGCGATGAGCTGCCTACTGGGGTTAAACCATGACAGACCTACAGCACTCAGCTGAACCCAATGCCTGTCTCTAACCATTGCTATTTTTGTTTATTTATAACAAACTTTTTTCATATAAATGAGTTTCTGCCTGGATTAAGTCTCTGAATGCGATTTATTAAAAATAGATTTCTGCATCAATTTGGGTATGACATGTCTACTTCAGTACGAAAAAGCATGATGAAAATTTGAAACCAGTATTCACTGTCCTATTCGTAAATAGGCTCACAAACAAGAGCTTGCCTCTTGTGCAGTATAATATTAAATCAGAAGGAGGAAAAAGAAGAAAGAGGGGCACAATGGATGTGAATAATTTTGAAACATTACAGGGGCTTTTTATACATGTTTACCAAATTTCTGTATAAGTAATACAATTGGAGTGCTGAGTAATTTCAGGAGATTAGTGATAAATGGGCACAAGGTGATTATTCAAGATAAAGCTGAGGGTCATTATCCTCAGCTGGTCATTAATTTCCATGAAATGACTGGTATTGAGATAGTAATTACTATTATAATGAAAATGGGGGAAAAAAAGAGCATGACATTTTTCTTATGAAGCTGTCTCAGCTTCTAAAGAATTCACATTTCTCTCATAACCCAATCAAGTTGCTTGAATCATTTTAACCCTTTATACAGTTTATTCACCCTACTATGATTTTCCGGTCATTGCCTCTCTTAAGGTTTGGTTTCCCACCATATATTCCTGGAATTTCAGGGGGCACAGCAAGGGGCAATAGCAATGGGAAAGAAGGACAATGCAGACACATCCCACAAAACCAGAAAATAAATTAAAAATATTTTCAGAATGTTTTCTCTATAAACTGTGCTACACAATGAGGTAGAAGATTTCATTATTATCCTATATGCTATCTAGCTGTTTATTCTGCATTAGATAGTGCTTTTAGCAATAGCATACACATCCCATGTCATTGCACAGCAGCTATGGAACTCTTTGTTCCAAACCAGAATTCACCTTGTAGCTTTACAATGTATGGAACTGATATTGTCAAGTCAATTTGGTCAGAATTCATGAAGAAATTTGACCCTAAAATGAAGAAACATCTTTAAAAATTTGCAACTTCACAAATTAAATTTGTGTTGTTCTGATGTGCCTTCTGTGGACTTCTAAGCCTTTGGCATTCTTTTTTTCACATTTCTATTAGAAGAGCTAGAAACTTATTATGGGCAGAAGGGAAGGCAATTTGTTTCCCGCTAGAAACACTATCATTCTGATTCCACTGTGAAAGACCCACGCATGCTGCATCATTACAACATCCCATCTTGGAAACTGAAAAACTCAAACTAAACTTAAAGCTTTTAAAATAAGCTAAGAAATTTAAAATAAAAAATAGGTATATTGCTCTATATGTTGCTAAAGCAAACAAGATACAGATATTCATTACTCTAGTGCTTTTTTCTAAAGCTTTTCTGTGAAAATTTTTCTAAGAAGGGGGTCCAGGAAAGTTACAGGATATAGTGAGTTTCTGCTGGAAAATTTGCTGTTGCTTCTGAAATGTTTCACTTTGCATAAAAGAGAGGAAGTAGAGCAAGACTCAAAACAGTTTTAGGCAAGAATGGCCTATAGGATGCTGCTCTGAGGGCTATAGACTAAACTGCACATGGTGCAATAGATAATGGTGGACACTGATAGATGACTTGCAGTGCAGCTTGGGAGACTCATTTGTCCTTCTAGCTTGCTTAGCAGTTAGGAGAGTTTGAGGCGAAACCTAATGATGCATGTCTGCTAGCCAGATGAATCATTCAGTACTGGACAGCTATCAAAACTGGACTGTTTGGTGATTTGGACACTGTCTGAAAAGCCAAAAAAAAAAAAAAAAGATTGCTTAAGTTCTGACAGCTCTGAGTGGCATTAAGAGAGCATACTTTAGACAACATGACAAGTCCTCTGGAAATAGAGACATGTTTTTGACAGCCAAGGCCAAAGCATGGTCTGTCAATTTTCTGGAAGAGAGAGAAAAATAGTTATTTGGGAGTAGAACTTTGTCTGGAAAAGATGTAATAGTGCAGGGGGACCAAACATAATTATACATCACAGCAGGTAATAGGATTCAAAAGCATAGTAAAAAATCAAGTTGTTGGAGACAGACCAACAACTGGGTTGCAGTATGGCTATTTTGTATCTGCCAGTTAAAGGCAAGACGTGCTAGAGTGAGACACAGGCAGTGGAATGGGTCAAAGTCTACAATATCTGTTACATGCACACATTAACAATTCTAAGCAAGATGAAAAAAACCCAAATCTAGACAACATACTTCTAAACTTCTAAGGAGGTTCACACCTATAAGGAGATGTCACTCCATTCCTTTCACCCACTCCAAAATCAATTTTGTCTTTGCTACAAGTTCCATGAACAAAGCACAAATCAGCACTGACTGTCGATGACATTTTCAGCACTGCTGAAGAAGTTGCATGACTCGAGGTAAACAACAATGTGACTTCCAATTTTCCTGTGCTCCTGGGAAAATCAAATGCATAGCACATCCACCAATGTGAAGAAGGATGCTGAGCATCCACTGGCCTTCTCCAGACTTTACGTATGTGTGGAGGTGTGCTGCTTGCTCTTTTCCCCCTGTTTCCTTCTGCAGGATCAAGGGTGGTCAGTCACTGGAACAGGTTCCCCAGACAAATGATCATGGTGACAAGCCTGTCAGAGTTCAAGGAGCGTCTGGATGACATTTTTAGTCACATGGTTTAGTTTTAGTTAGTCCTGCAAGGAGCAGGGAGTTGAACTTGATGATCCTTATTGGTCCCTTCAACTTGAGATGTTCTATAATTTCCATTAATAGATACCTTATTTCTATAGTAGCTTGTGTAAAATGCTCAAGTCCATATTCAGCATACACCTGCTTTCTTACAGTTAATTGCAGTAAGATGCTTTTTGCCAGTATGTTGGTGAGATAAATGCCTATACAACCACAAAACATTTATATGTTTATAATAAGACTTGCTAGATCTTGATGTTAAAAATGAATGCCTTTTTCTTTTTGGAAGTTGTGGGATTTTTTTTTTTCTACAGCACCAAATCTTGGGAGCTTGTGATTAGGACACAAATTTAAAATACTTGAAAACACTTATAAACAAATTTGTTAGACCTCATGGCTGCAAAAGTGATTTGTAAACATGATTCAAATATACCCTGAAGGTCTAAAGAGTGAATTATTATTTTATTTTGGGAGTGATGAATCATGATTTTTTCAATACTTGCAGCTGGCAGCTGCAAGACACTTGTAAGCTGGAATTCCAATTTAATGAGCAAGATATAAAAAAAAAAATATTCAGACTAACATTTAACACTTTTCAAGCTAGAGTCAATCCATACAGAAAAGTTTGCAGAGATAATAAATAACTGAAAAATATCACCCACCAGGAACTATAAATTCCTAAAACTTCTTGGGGGGGGCTGGTTTACATTTGTTTATTTGTTTTCGAAAACCTAACTGCAGTCTCCCAGGCTTAAAATGCTGATTACTGCAAAGACAAGGAACAGACTTACTTGATGGAAGTAAAGAACTTTTTTTGCACTGAAGAATATCTGAGATGATAAATAACAGGCTACCAGGTAAAAAGAATGAGAAATTATAAGCTTATGTTGTGGACTATAATGATATTTTTCAAATATTTTCTTTCTTGTGTTCCACAAAGGTTTCCTGCAGGAAAAATACACCTTCTCCAGGACAAGTCATTTCCCTAGTTTCAAAGACTACTAGTTTTTTTTTTCATTCCCTGCACTTTTGTGCTAGCAACCACTTATTCTGCTTGTTGTGTTGTACTCAAATATTTCACTAAATATGTCAGCTTCACCTTTTCGACCCTGTAATGGTAGATTGTTATGATAAAATATACTTCTGTTTAGATAAAACTTTTGCTCAGCTGCGGTTTTATATGGGAAAAATGTAGAGGAAATTGCTGCCAAACTTGTTCTGTTCTATCATCTGAGTGAAGAAAACAGAGGTGGCCAAAAAAACCTACTTAGATTAGCTAATACGTCCCATGTACATTTCTCCCAGTCCATGAATCCATGTATAAACAACAGTGTATTGCACTAAGTTTAAAGTGAGATTGCAGTCACATAAACAGGCAGATGGTACATTTGGTTTTAGCACATGACAATTAACTTTTTCTTTTTAAATTGAACAGACTCACCTGTTAGAAGAGAAATTGTAATAACCGCTTTCCTCTAGAATCTCTTCAATTAGAGTCTACAAGATAAAATCATTTCAGTAAATTATCTTTATTAAAAGTAATAAATTAATACATATAGGTATATTTATAGCTTACCTGCAACTGTTCATATGTCATCCCTTCTGCTATGTCAGAAGTGCCAACAATACCTTAAATAAAAGGCAAGTAATGTTATACTACTGAATTTGGGGTTTATGCTTCCTCATCAGTGTCTTAGCAATTTCACTACAAATGTAATGACAAAAGAGATACTTGATTACCAACAGTTTATTCCACTGACCACAATGACCCCCCATAAAGGTGGAAGGCATCTTATGGCATAATGTGAATATTTGAGGCACACATTGTTATCACACTATGAAAGAGTTCTCACTGATAGAAAACATTTTAAATACTTAATGTAACCGAACACAGTGCAGCCTTCTTATTCTTTCCCACTTACAATTTGTAGTGGAAAGAGCACACAGCCAGCTGCAATTTGTGAGGACAAAACTATTCTTTGCAGGTTAAGAGATTCAAAAATCAGTTACTGAGCATCTGAACTAATCGCATTGTTGTCTTCAGGAACAAAATAAAGTTCATATTTAAAGTGATGGTTAGGGACTTTTACTCAAATATCACCCTTGACACAGAATTATTTGGGGGTTTTGCAACAAGTTGTGGAACTAATATGCTAGTTTCAAAACAAAGGCCAGCAAAACCAAATTTTCTCACCCTTCTTTCTGGCACCATAGTTTTTAATGTTACTACGTCCTCTAATCCATGTATTGCAACAGAGATTTTCCTGCATTTAGAAGAATTGAAATGGCACAAATACCAAAATACAGGCTGCATGTTTCCCTTATGTGCACTGCACAGAGGCATCTGATGAAACAAGTCTCCGACCTAAGAACTTGTGGTTCCCCACCCATGATGCAAGTGATTGCAGGTTTGATTAAAGATGGAGTTAATGATTTGTCATGCTGAGTATCACTAGTCCAAAGTACATTTGACACTATTCATTTTCTAAAGTGTGTATGTATATACTTAACATATACTTTACTGATGTGATATGGCATGTAGCTTTTCCCTCCTCAAGTCTGTAGGGTTTGATTGAGCCAGGTAATTAAATCATCCCAGTATAACAGTTTCAAAAATGACAGAAGAACAACATAAGGTTTAAACAGAGTTTGTTTAAAAATCATGTGCAGACAGGTAAATCCTAAGTATGACATTTTCAGTTACAAACATTTATATTGATTTCAATAGATGAACCATGTGTTATTTGCATCTTTGCTATTTCTTTGTAATTCCAAAGTATATTCTTTTAAATTAGTAGAATGTTCCATCAGTGATAAACTATGTATCTTACCAGGAATTAAACAAAAGAAATAAACACCCTGATAATGAAAATCAGTATAGTTAACATAACTGTCCTTAAAGTCAGATCTTAGAGCAGCAATTCCTTCTGCTTTGATACCGTACCCTTTACTAGGGTACCCTTTACATATGCCATTAGAGAGGTTTTGTTTCTTTCTTTACCTTTTCTCTCATCTGGAAGCAACATATTTTGACCTGAAGAGAGAAGTGCCACATGCCAATCTGCTGTGAAGAAGTTAGGCTCAATCAATTCAGGAGAACCTTGTAGCAGCTGGGGAAGAAAAAAAAAAATTGTAAAAAGCAGAGGACACCTGAAATCTCCATCCTTCCCATCTGCCAAAACTTGGGACTTCTATGAGGTGGTTTACCCTTTCCTATGTTTCTCAAAGGAGATTTCAATACTTTTTAGATTAATGAAAAAGTGGTAAATACAATTATGAATGTCCTACATTCTTCTCTCCAGAAATACTGTCTGAACATTTCAAGTTGCCAATCTGCATTGAGTTCTTTAGACTATCTGAATAAAATGTCATGAACTACACATTTCTGTAAAGATAAACAGGGAAGTGTATTCCCTCAGGAGAGAAACAGCTGATGACTCTGGTTTTCAAAACTGGGGCTTCAATTGAAGCTGTCAGCCCACATTCAAATGATATAGTCACCATTAGAAAGAAGTCAGCACTTCTGAAACCTGAAAGTTAGTTCAGCTACTTGATTATGCGAGCAAGAATACTGCCGTTAAACTTAAAAACATCTAATTTTGAAAATATCCACTGGTAACAACTCTGACATGAATATATCTGTGGGCAGGAAAGAAATTCCAGTTATGCATTTCTGCAGCATGTTAACACTTCTACAGTTACAGAAACAGAAGAATATCTGTTGTTGGAAGACCTTTACCCTACTACCACCAATCAGTGGAGGAATCTTTTTGTCTTTATTCTAATTAGGTTTGCTAATTCATCATAGTTAAAAACCCCAATGATTTTTAAATTTTATTTGCAGAAATTGCACAACCTCATAACAACATTTGCTGGAAAAGTTCAACCTAATTCTTTTCTCTCTTTAGGTTCTTCCTATTACCTCCAGATGATATCTGTTACCCAACATATTTATGGTGGTGATTTGGGTAAAATATATACCATTTATTCACCGATGCTTATCAATTCTCCATCCTTCTAACTGTGCTTCTTGTTGTTACTTTCTATTAATTGTTTCTCTAACTATTTCCTTCAAGGTAGAAATGCCCAGAATTGCATTCAGCATTTCAAAATTTTCAATTTACTACCATTTACTTTTTAAATAGTGTATTTCTTTCCTTTTCTTCATGTTTGAAACCAATCATTTCAACTGTTAACACAGTCTAACTGAAATAAATAGCTTCCTTTATTTCTGGGCATTTGAAATTTAGGTTAATTTTATAATAAACACTTCCTTTTTCTTACCATTTTTTGGGCATCCTTTCTGGAAAACATCAACTCAATAAATTATTAGCAAATATATCCCTATAAAAGTCATGGCTGAAATACAGGAATTGCTTAATGTAAATCCCAGTTTGATTTACAGGACAGCAAATTGGCATGAAACTGATGGCTCAGAGAGAGGCATCTTTAACTATCTTTCAAATGTACTACCAATGTAAACACTAAGTAGCCATCTTTCACAGAATTTAGCATCTCAGATTAATTATTACAAAAGTACAGGAAGGATTTAGCATTTAGGGTCAGTCCATTCCTAGCAAACAATGACTTAGAAGACTCCACAATTCAGTACAAGTAGGTGACAATCAAATTAGATTGCACAGGGGAATTATGTGAGTGATAAGAATTAATCTTTGTCATCATATTTTCGATAGAATAACATAACTAATAACTGCATTGTCATCAGTTCAAAAATGAAATATCTTAGCTTCAATCTCCCACAGTACACAGATGCCAAGGATGTCATTTTCAGATCCTCTGCTGACTACAGTCTTCTCAAGAGATGTTCGAAGGAATATTCAGAAATTCTGATACTAGTTGTTAGCTCTTTCTCTGTTGGAGGGTGCCCAGCATGTCATTGGAAAACATGCAGGCATCATTCTTTAGTCATGCCATTCTTGAAAATCTTCAGTATTTTTAAGCTGATGACACTAAACTGTTGCTGCCACACTGTGCAACAATAGGACAAGGTATGCTATAGTCAAGACACTCCAGGATAGTGTTTTCTTAAAATTCATAGTTTGAGTAGGAATACATACCAAAACATGAATAACATTGGGAAGGTAATAACAAATTAAGAAGAGTTTACATAAATTAAGAATTTACATAATCTCTGTCAGCCTTTAACACAAAAAGTTGCATTTTCTTTTCTCTTCTGTTTTTGAGCTCTGAGGAGGCAAAGTCTGATTTTGCATATTAGCAGCTAGCAGGTCCTCTCCATTTCCAAAAATGTTCTAATGATCAGACACAAACTTGAAACCAAACTGTAGAAACTGCTTACTTAAGAAGCCTCCATATTTTCCAAATAAAGAATTGCTAGAGAATATTCTAAATATTTCCTTTTAAAAATGGAATATTACACTTATAATTCTGTGATATTAATATCGATATTTTAATTCAAAGAGGAGACAGTCAACCACAGGTAGTAACTAGCGTACTACACCTTTTTCATTTCTGATTTCAGATTACAAGGATTGCTCTGCTGACTGAAGAGGGACTTCTTGAATCTCTCAATGATTCTCCTTTTAAAGTTGAATTGCAAAGCTGGAGGAAGCTACATGAAACAAAGAAACAGATGTTTTCACCGCTCAGTTACACCTGCCATAAAGATGACCTAATCAGCAGTACCATTGTCAAAAAAAGTAGCTACACTGCAAAAAGAAACATTGATATTTAATACCATGGTGATAAACAACAGTACAATATTTGATTTAAAAGCATATTATAATAATGCTCCTTAGTTTGTCCATTCTGTTAGGCTTGGCATACCATAGAACAGTCCCTCTAGCCTTGAAGGTGAAGATCATGATAACAAGCGTAACACAGGTAATGTTAAATTTGCCTCCCTGATCAAAGTGCCAGTATTTGGGATATTTTTCTACAGATGAAGCCCATAGAACATTAGAATAGATTTCATGTTGGCTATAATGAGTGGCTCCAGCTGAAATTAATGGTATTTAAGAAGCTTAGATCTTCATTCAACGCATGTAGAATGGCTTCAACGGGTTCTTTAAAGGTCCTTATGTACATCTTAACACAGTTCAGAACATTCTTTTGCTAGAAACTTCCTGTGGGAGGTAATTTACATTTCACTTGTCCATAAAGCAAAACTGATTCTGTACACTTTTTCTCATGTCATTTTTGTTGAAAAAATACACATCTTTCAACTATATTTACAGAAGAAAAGCACAAATCATACTTTATCATGTTTTAAAGTCTTTAATAGAGAGTTCAAAAGAGCTGTCTTTCCTTGCTCTTTGAGATTTTAAAATCATGTTTATGATCCAACAGTAAATGTAAAGTTTCAGCTGTTGGTCACTGCAGTGACGCCAACCCAGTCTGATGATAATTCTATAGTATATGCTACCCTTCTGGAAGGATCTCCTGTGCTGTTTCTCTATATAGTTGCTTATACCTACTGACAGTGTTTGTAAACCTACGATTTTCTACCATTTAGTATACACTTTATAAGCACATCATCGATGTCAATTCATGAAGTGTCACTCTGCTGAGTTCAGGAAGCTTTTTGACTACTCAAAGAAGGTCTGACTGCTAATGATTCATGTTCAAACACTGTCACAGTACACATTATAATGATTTTTTTTTTCCCCACTGGAACAAATTACTGCTTTTAGACGGCTATAAATCTGGAACAGCTATATTGGCCTCACAGGAGTCCTGATTTGCTCTGACAAACCAGGGATCAAGGTGACATCCTAGGCATAAAAGACTGCATCAGACAGCTTGTTACATACAGTTTTTTGTTACAGATAGATACTACTCTCTTTTCATGTAGATAAGGCCTTACACAAATGCTCTAAGTCAGATGTTGAATGTTCCTTTGTCTATAAGTGAGTAAAAAGAACAATGCCTTAGGAAAGGCCTGCAAGATACTCCATAAACTACATGCTACTTCAATGAACTGTGTGCAGTTAATGTACCATGGGCATATTGGGATATTCTGAATCAAAAGTGGGAAAGAACAAGTCCACTGCTCGAGAAATTCGGAGCTGCCTCAGGCACTAATGTTCAATTTTAGCTTTTGTTTTAATGAAATCAGATGTCAGATCAGTTTTAAAAAACCCTCAAAACCGGCCAAGGATTTACATAATGCTTTTTTAAAAGCTTTCTCTTACATTGTTTTCCAGAGATCACTCTGACTCTTGTTCCCATGGAAACTGGATTGGGAAGGCTGCTGGCAGCCAAGAACTAACAGGCAAGAACTCTCCCTTGTAAACTTCAGTTTAGAATTGTCAGCTGAAATATGCAACAGACTTTCATAAAACAGCTATGTATTATAACAAATATTCTACCTTAGATCTGTAAAAACATAAACAAGTACAAGAGAAGCACATGGTACACAGTGAACAAGTACAGGTATGGATTGGGTTTCCTGCTTTCCCATTCCAAAGTCAGCTGAGACCCAAAGCATCCAAGTTGCTACTACTGCTTCAGTGGCCAGTTCTGAGCGAGTTTTTGAGTTGCTGTTAGTTCTCAGTTATTTGGCATCCACATTATGATAACTTGCATTAATTAGTAGGCCACTTGAGAAAACCTTCAAGAGAGAGGATAGGTTCACTAATGAGCATCTTGGACTTACTCCTAATATAGCATGTAAAGACTGAATTCCTCATTTCTGTTAGCAGGGGAATGGTATCATTTCCAATTATTTTAAATAACAATTGCTTTATTTGTCTCTGATAATTTAATTCCTGTATTACCTGCTTTGATACCTTGACAGTTAAAAAAGAAAAAAAAGAGACATGTAAAACACTTGCTTGTTCAGTTATGCTATTCTGTTCTAAACAAAACCAAACAAATTTGGTTCAGCAATCTGAAATCCCCTGAGGTGAAAAGTATCACTTTCCCAACATAAACACTTCATTTTGGAAAATAAAAATACATTTATTTAATAACAGCAAATTTTACAAGTAGCTTTCTTTTGGCAGCCATCTTTCTGGAGAAGAAAAAGTTTCCTGTCACATTTTTAGTTGAGAGTTCAATGCAGATTTATATCAGCTCCATTTTCATTTTGGAATTACCATGAAATAACTTCAACTCTCTTTCACTATGAAACATTTGAACTCAATTTTAAAATAAGCCTTAAATTTGAAAAAGATTTGACATTTCAAAATATTTAAGATTTGAACTATTGCACTAGAAATCTCAATAAATTATTAGTATTTATTGATAATAAAAAAATATTATGTAGTAGTTATTTAGAAATTATTGCTATAGAGGAAAGCATTTTATATACTCTCCATGTCATTATATGATATTAAGTCACTTAAAATATTCATATTGCTGGCATGACAGAATGTTGTAAAACCAATTTACGGTACAATCCATTTTTCTGAGGTGAGCTGATGAATTTTTTTTCCATATGACTCAATTATTGCCATCCTCCACATAACTAATATTCAAGGTTAGTCTTTATTTAAATGACATATTTTTAAAGCATCCTGCCATCTGCAAAAATGTCAAGTTCTGTTGTTTTTAAAGAACAGTGACTAAATTAGCAGCACTTTGCAGTACCATCATTTTGACAACAGCAAATAACCAAAAAGTATAGAATGTCAGAAGCAACAGTAATGCATACTTGAGTGATGAAGATAATTTTGTGCAGCTGAATAAGAATCTGCTGAACAGGGTCACTGATCTGACGCACCTTCCTTTGTGAAACAGCAATTCCTGCTGATGCTGTAGATGACAAGAATAAAATCAGAAGGAGGGATAATTTTGTTGCCTTAATATATTAATAGCATACACTGTTAAAAACCTGTAGATGTAAATATTAAGTTTTAATGCATGACTTGTTTTTCCAATACTGTTGGGAACATAAAAGGGATAATCTAAAAACTTAAAAGGTTAGACAATGTAATTGATAATGGGTTTCAAGAGAAAATCCCTTTCTCCAATTCATTTCTAAGTTACTCTAAGAGAAAAGAAGTATTGATATACCTTACTAATCATAAAATTTTTCCCACATTTATTCAAAATGAAATTTAAAGATACAATAAACAGAATTTTCTTATTTTAACTGAATTTTTTTACATAGATTAACACACGTGATATTTATTTTTTATATCTTTTGATGTCATGAAATTTATTTTCATTTTATCTTCAGAATTAAAATGTTCTCCAAGTGGTCCACATCAGACAATTTTATTAAAATACATTTTCATGTTGTTTATAGTGATATGTGTTGCTTTATCACAGCTACACAGCTACTTTTTGTTTCCAACATCTAGCAAGAGCATGCTTTGAGAGAAACCTCAAGAAAATGTGCAAGAAGCTATGAATCTCTTGGGTCTTCTTTACTCTGCATCAGAAAATTAGTGGTTTCCCTTCTTTGCCATAAATTCCTCCCCACCAGAGATCACCCTATCTAAATGACATGTTGGTGGAGACTGCAGAAAGAACCTCTTACCAGCATTCTCTGAGATCAAAATGGCACCATCATAAAGCACGTTAATGTTCATTTTTCATATTTAGGATAAAAGAACACCAATGCTAAACAAAGAATAATGCTGTAAAAATTTCTCTCTCCACAAAAGAAAGAATACAGACATTGCTCTGTATTACAGTTTGTATATTGCTTTTGCTTGTAAATTCCATAAAAATAGTAGTGTTGACCCATGAATATAAGGGAAAAGCAGGCTATAAAAACTTTTAAATGCAAAACTAATTACATATTGACAGAAAAATGCATAAGGCTAAAGAAACCCTAAAATAGGGTTATGTAAACCAAAAGTATTAACACAGATTCAATTCCCATGTACATACACATGTAATTATGAGCTACGCACATTACATACACACTATACATAATGAAAATTTTATTCCCCCTCCTGCCTCTGCCATATTATATGGGATATAAAGTTGGCCTGTAAGATGAAAAAGAGAAAACAAATTTTGAAATTAAATATCAGCTTTGAAAAGTGTTCTGTCTCTTAATATATCTCCATATCATTTCTCTAAGCATTAACATTTCAAGTAGACGAACATTAGACAGATAAGAAGATAAAATATTCATTGACTAATTATAAGAAGAGATCTTGAAGTTAGAGATTTACAATAAAAGTAGGGGCACTTTGAGAAAATAAGGTTGCTATAAGTTGCTTCTAATATTTTCTTCTAAAACAGACATTAAACACCCCCCCCTTTTTTTAAAAAGCATATTGTATTTGAACATTTCCTTTAGCTGTTACCTAACAACAAGCACAACAGATATGCATAGACAAATTCACAAGGAGTTCACACACATGCTTATATTTTAGTGCTTAACTATTTAATTGGGTATCCAGGTATGATTTTTGCTAAAAAAGCATCCATCATACCTGGTGACAATGACACCACATTTTGTAGTATGAACTCTGAAGTAAAGAACAGAGTCAGTTTGTAATTAAAAGTAAAAACAATACAATCGAGAATATTACAGTACTTCAAACATTTAGGCTTCTTCATATCATTTTTATTAGATTATTGTTGATTTTATTTTGATAAGTGTGAATTAATTATCAAGACAATGAGCAAGAAAGCTGAATTTTTCTTATCTTATGAAAACAGTGAATAGATGTAAACATGTTCCTCTTCCTCTAAAGCTAGACTACCATTCTCTGTCAAGCAAATCCATATACATAATGTATACTTTTCATAGACAAAAGCACTGCAAAGGAAGTTACACATGAACAGAAGCTATGGTTTACTTTCAGCAAAATTTAACACAACAATTTTAACATGTCCATTTACTTCTATGTGTTAAAATTGGAATATATATATATAAATCAGCTATGGGAAGATATTTATTTCTTGGGATCAAGAACTGAAAACAAAAGCAGAAAGTGAAAAGTTATTTCCCCCACTGAACTACTGTTTAGTACTTACACAAACAGCCATTAAACCAGATATGGCCTTGGTTGTCCAGGATTTGAGACAGATAGACTTGTCTGCTGTAGGTATATTTTTTCTTGTAGTACAAATAGCTTTGTGATTAAAAGACTGCACTTTTTTTTTCTAAAGCGGAAGTGCCTGTGATTTACCAGCTAGTAATATGAAATATCCATGTGATATTTTTCCTGCCATATTCAATGACATGTTTGAAAAATACTAGACAAAGGCAGCTTGATAAGAAGCAAAATAAAATTCACTTGACTACCTAAATGAGTGAGCGTTACTTAAAATTTACAAAGCACAGTAAACTCAGTACCAATTTGTAGGTATTATACCTAAAAGGCTGACTATATTTTGCTAACTAAAGAGCATTATGAAATTATCTATTGAACCAAAAAAAGACATCACAATTTATTTGTGTTCAATGGAATAATTTTAATTCCAGGCATAAGAACCAACAGAGAAATACTGCTGATCAAGCTTTAGGTAATTTAATAGAATTAGGACATAGAAATAAATACACATTCTACAAACTGTGCAGATTTATAAAATATCATTCAGATTTTGAATATAACAATTAAACCAAACAGAACAACTTTATTCTTATTTACCTAGTTGCTCCTCTATCACGCTTTGCCTGCTGCGAAAGAGTATAGAGCCAAAACTAAATCAGTTTTTTGAATTTTTATGTGGCAAATCAGTTGTTATTTGTGATTTTTGACCTTGTGTATTTAAGTCATACACACTATCAGACCCAGAGATTAAATAAAAGCTTACCAGGAGACTGCCACCATAAAACAATTAGTGTATCACAGAAGAATAGTAGTTAACAAAATTAGCTTTCCAAGTGGCGTCTTAGACCTGGAAGCTAAGCAAAGAGCTTAGGTCCAGGTATTAAACTTCAGCCAGCAGACCGGTATCTCTCTCTCAAGTACAGTCTAAAGTACACTTCTGAGGCTAATTTAGGTCCATATACTAACATTTCCTAATATAAATTTATATTAATACATTATATACGTAAATAATATAGATTTAGAATAATGCCTAAATTTAGACCATATAAATATTTTTAAAATGTTCTAAAATACATGAATGTTTTCTAAAATATTATTCTAAATGTTTTCTAAAATATATGCCACAAGAAGAGCAATTTTGATCTAGCTCAGAAAAAGTATCTCAAGTGGAAAACTTGTTTCATCAGTGATGATGTATAAATACATGATCATTTACAAGGGCTCTACAAAATGTTCCTTTCATAGAATTTCCCATTGCATTCAGAAGTTTAGCAAGGATAATGACCATTAAAATGAGCTCTTGCTGATTTACTACAGGCATTCATATTTTTTAAAAATTCCTTATGGAAATTTCAGATAACATATTTGTATCTGAAATGTAATTATCTCCTCTTCTAACATTTAAAAATATAATTATTAGATAATATTATGATTTTTCATATTGCAAAGAACTACAACTGAAAGACTATGAGACTGCCACTCTGTCACAAACTATTATTTTAGCATGGACCTTGCATATAAGTGGAGGCACTCTCAAGACCAGATCAATAGGCAGTAAAGTGGAAGAAACAAAAGAGGAGACAGTCTGCATGTAACAGCAGAATAAGGTTTAAATACGTGGAAATCATTAGGTTTAATTTAAGTTAAAGTTTGATTTTGTTGCAAGCACAAAATTACCTGGTCGCTGTCTTGATCCGGGACCTTCAATATAATCTCTAGTATTATTTAAAATTAAAAGAAAGAAAAAAAAAAGTTTTAATTGTGTTTGGCATCAATGACTGTACAGGAAATATCAGTATATGAAGTTGCAGTGGTAAATAAGGAAATGTTTCATGAAGGCAATTGCACAACTGTTCCACTGTGAAACAACCAATTGGAATTGATCATTACAATGATCAATTATATAACCTATATTAAAATCAGAAATCATACCTACCTAACCTGAGATTGTCTTTCAGAAGCACTAAGACTTCGTTTAATTATACCTGAAACAAATGTATAAATATTATCTCTGGATTAAAATATATATATACACACATACATCTTAATATTTTCTACTTCTCAGACATGGTATCAAAATAACCTAAAAAGCAGTGTTAAACAACCTTCAAAGACCCATTTGACTATGGAGTTGCTGTTTGATGTATCAAAGATTTGTTTGCATCATAACTAAAATTTCAGCCCTGCACAGTATTTTAATAAATGCTTTCAGAATTTCACAGAAACTAACAACACATGCTGATTAGATGTCCACAGAAGATGTACCTGGATTTGCATTAAATTACTACCGTTACAGCTGCCACGTAGTCACAACATTACTCTAGGTTTTTATCCAGACTAGAGACATTTACATGTTTTCTCAGAGGACCTTTGATGGATTGTCTAAACTTTGTTTTACCAGAGTTTTATTGCCACCATTCTATTAGCTAACTATTCAAACTACTACATGTGCAATATCTTACTTCTTAAATAATCCCACTGATTTTAAGACGTTGAAGACAGGGGTATGACCAGTCATTGGTCAAATATCTAATCAGCAATAAAACTGAACTGAAACATTTATGTCATATATTGCATAATGCCAACAAAATTTGTAGAGGGAGGGGTAATGTTTGATGATATTTATTATTATGCACTTGGAAAGCATTGTCTTAAAGCAAGTATTCATCTTAAACATGTCTTAAGACATTCCTATAAAACCATTCCTTTGATGGTAATTTTGACATATAAGAACACTCTCTCCTACAAATGTTATCTTTTTTGAATCTTCCTCATCTTGAATAAGGAATAAGTATATGTTTAAATCTAGACATATTTCAGCTAACTGAAGGTCTGAGTAGGAAATGCTACAACAGTTTTCCCATACAATTATTGTATTTTAATATAATACCCTGCATCTTTGTTTACATGAGATGTTTCTTTCACACTAGTAACATCACAAGCATTATCATAAAATAAGAACAGTGGCTAAGAAAAGAAAGATATTACACTGAACTTACTCTAGTTTTCCCATTGTTGGTCTTGTTACAGCAATTATATTAGTTCTACAGCAACAGTAGAGGACTTTCAGAGAGCAAACACATTTCTGAGTCTTAAATCTTTTGTGTTCAAACATACTTTCTGTTATGCTCTGAAATACAGTGCCTCTATTTTTCCTACTTTTATGAGATCCTCTGAATTAAAAAAAAAAAAAAAAATCCTGAAGAAGGCTTGCATCTGTCACACAGAATCCACTTTAAAAACAAAAGAAATGACACACCTTTAGGCCAAATCTTTCTCCTTAAAAAGAAGACGCACAGACAGACAGAGAATGAAAGAAAAAGAAACAGTATTTTATTCCTCACTAATGCTTTGCAAAACAGATATTAAAACTCTGTAGTAGTCCCAAAAGAAGGTTTGATAAGAGCAGTTGATTTATATAATAGCAAATAAACTAGGTCCTTATGGAAGCAAAGATACTTCAATTGACTTTAACACTGACAGGAAAATAGATAGGAAAATACAGTGTCCACTGTCTAAAATGTAAAAACAGCCTTTGGAAATGAAAAAATATGATTGTGCCTATTCAAGAAACAGATATTTTACCTGCTTAGGATGCAGACACAATAATACAGATATAAAAGTAGACTGACTGAACCTGAATCAGGTTCCTTGGGGTAAGAATTTTGAGTGACAACCTCAGACACTGTTATAACAAAGTCTATACTATGTTATGGGAGTATGTGTGAGAAAATCTGTAGCAGAAGGCACTTGGCTAGAAAGCTAAATTTCAACACAGCTGTTTGCTAGAGTTTTAAAAACAGCTCTCCCTTCCAAGCATTAATATACAAAATTGGATTTGAAATACTATACCCTTTGGCTGTTTCAAATAAATGGTCTCCATCAGTAAAGGGCTCATATCCAAATTTGCTTAATTAGTTTAATGACTCACCACATTTGATTTGCTAATCCACCAGTTTATGAGTGTATTTACAAGTGCATGATATTTCACACCAAAGAGTCTGTCTCACCACTCACTGTACATGGCAGATGCAGTATTTTCTGATTCATATGCTAAAGTTAGGAAAATATGTATTTATGCTAAAAAAAAAGCCAAAACCAAACAAATAGAAATCATGATGCAGAACATCACTAAACAACAGCCAATAGCCTTCAGCCCTATTTCTATTACTTATTATTATGAAACCCACTGAGCATCTAGCACTGAGATTGGAATTTCTTTATGTTAGACACTACGAAAACACATTGGAATAATTTCTTCAGTAACTAAGCATGAGGAGACTCAGACATCTAAAAATCATTGTAACATTCATGTGTGTAGGCACATACTCATCAAACACTAATGATTTTAATTATAATCCTTTATCTTTTTGTGTAAGAGTTATGCTTACCATACAAACACAGACGGGGAGTAAGAAACAACATAAATGTGTAGGAAAGTTAACTAACGTAAGTCATGGAGTGCATAGTGCATCCTGATGTTCAGCCAGGGTGCAACCTGGACCATAAGGCCTTTGACACCGTTTCCCACAGCCTTCTCCTGGTGAAACTGGCTGCTCGCGGCTTGGATGGGCACACGCTTCACTGGGTTAAAAAACTGTCTGGATAGCCGGGCCCAAAGAGTTGTGGTGAATGGAGTTAAATCCAGTTGGCAGCCGGTCACGAGTGGTGTCCCCCAGGGCTCGGTTTTGGGGCCACTCCTGTTTAACATCTTTATTGATGATCTAGACAAGGGGATCGAGTGCACCCTCAGTCAGTTTGCAGATGACACCAGGTTGGGTGGGAGTGTTGATCTGCTTGAGGGTAGGGAGGCTCTGCAGAGAGACCTGGACAGGCTGGAGCCATGGGCTGAGCCCAACTGCAGGAGCTTCAATAAGGCCAAATGCCGGGGGCTGCCCTTGGGCCACAACAACCCCCAGCAGCGCTACAGGCTTGGGGAGGAGTGGCTGGAGAGCTGCCAGTCCGAGAGAGACCTGGGAGTGCTGACTGACAGCTGGCTGAACAGGAGCCAGCAGTGTGCCCAGGTGGCCAAGAAGGCCAATGGCATCCTGGCTTGTGTCAGCACTAGCATGGCCAGCAGGGACAGGGAAGGGATATGACCCCTGTACTCGGCACTGGTGAGGCCGCCCTTCGATTCCTGTGTTCAGTTTTGGGCCCCTCACTACAAAAAGGACATTGAATGACTCGAGCGTGTCCAGAGAAGGGCAACGGAGCTGGTGCAGGGTCTGGAGCACAGGTTGTATGGGGAGCGGCTGAGGGAACTGGGGGTGTTTAGTCTGGAGAAGAGGAGGCTGAGGGGAGACCTCATCGCCCTCTACAGCTCCCTGAAAGGAGGGTGCAGAGAGCTGGGGATGAGCCTCTTTAACCAAGTAACAAGTGATAGGACAAGAGGGAATGGCCTCAAGTTGTGCCAGGGAATGTTTAGACTAGACATTAGGAAGCATTTCTTTCCAGAAGGGGTTGTTAGGCAACGGAATGGGCTGCCCAGGGAGGTGGTGGAGTCCCCATCCCTGGAGGTGTTAAGAGTCAGGTCGACATAGTGCTGAGGGATGTGGTGTAGTTGGGAACCGTCAGTGTTAGGTCAATGGTTTGACTAGATGATCTATCAAGGTCTTTTCCAACCTAGATGATTCTGCGATATTTCCTTTGACCGTGGTTACTCTTTTGACATGGATGGGAATAGCAAGACAACATATGTTTTGTTTAAGTGCCTTGCAAGAGGGAATTCTCAGTTTAAGATGATCTCAAGGAAAATTAAATATAAATCCTTCATCTCTTTCCTGTCTTGTGCCCACTCTTGTTAGAATGTGAAAGACACAGAGAAGTCAAAGCTTTTGATTCTCATCGGTGTCCCTATTCTGAAGAGTTCTATGAAAATTGCTTGAGAACATTAAAACATTAAAAAGACATATATACACACACATAAATGAGGCATCAAGAATTTTTCTGACTGCTACTTTGGTCATTAATAGCTGATGTAAGTAAAGCAACTTTTTTTGCTCACTAGCAGTGACTACATGTACAGCAACAGAATTTGCCATAAACATAATTTAAGTGTAACTCAAGCATCATACTGGAAAACCAGGTCTTGGCAGATCTTGTTCTAGCTGCTGTCTTCAACCAAGTCCCATTAGCCTGAGGTCTCAAAAGAAATCTAAATCTTAAAAGTCAAAGTCAAATTGGGCAAATCAAGTCTACAATACATTGTAAGATCTCTAAAATTCTTCACAGACAGTCCATTTGCAAATTATAGGTTTCTTGATGCAATAATCATTTTCAACAAATTTCCTAAGCTTTCCCTTCACAATCTAAAGAACCATATATAATAGATGTGAGATGATCTTAGCCCTAAGATTTACCAAACAATCTAAATATCATATGTAAAGAATAAATATCTTCTCAAATCATCATATCCACCAAAGAATACAACTGGTCTGAATTTAAAAAAAAAACCCAACAAAACCAAAACCAAACAAACAACACACAACCCCCCCCCCAAAAAAAGAAAAAACAGAAAAACACTGTGATCACAGAACTTGCAAGATACAAGGTAGCTGTCTGCAATTAAATTTTGAATTAAAATACTAGTTCCAGACAGCAAGTGACCTTACTGAATGAATATTTATTTTCTACTGTGTTTGCTGTCATCCTCAAAAATAATTAAATTTGGAGCTAAGTGATGACCTAAACTCAGAGCCCAATCATTTACTACATACAACATGCAGAGTTCTATTTTGAGAGTATCCTTGTTTCAGAAATCCCATTATTCAGCTGGATACTTTTGACTGCTTTGAGCATTACCCGGACAAGACACAAGTCCTGGCACTGTGTAAACAAGTCATTTTTCTAAAAGCTCAAAGAAAGATGTAGCAGACTCTTCTACAGTTACATCACTAGAACATTCTTCTGGCAGATCTGTGCTCTCTTCATGGTAACTCTGAATACTATCCCACTGCAGAAATTCTGGCAAGGAAAGGAGTCCTGAATATCAATGTCTTTGCCTATTGGTCACAGGTTAGATAAATTCAGAGATTCATCCAAATACTGGAAACATATGTTAAAAGTATGAGGTAACAGAAAAACTCATACAAAAAAGAGCAAGGTACAGCACAACAGGACTGTGCATTGAGACTTCTTAGCCTCATGAAAAGCTGCTAGCTAAACAATTCTGAAAGGGGCCTGTTGTATGCTTACCTTTTTATTGTGAGGAAGTTCAGAGGGCAAGTACATAAACCCCTAGGGACTAGGGTTTTCTAATAGCATACTTTACACAGAACTAGTCTTTCAATGTATTTAGGACATTGCAGTGTAAATGAACATGATTCATAAAAAATAAAACTATTTTCAAAAAAGTGTTCCCAAACATAGGGTAAACTTTTAAACTCACTCACTGACATACTAGCTCTATTGAACTACTATGCATTAAGAGATACCACGTATTTTCCTGCTATTTGGTTTTACCAGCAGAAATGCAGGTACAGTTACACTGTAAATCAAAACCAAGTAAAAACCCCTTAAATATGGACTCAGCTAAGGTAAAGTTGAGAACCTTCTTGATTTTAAAATAAGAAAAAAATGCAACTAATAAGCTATTAACATCCCATCACTCTGTTGCTTTTTGACTCAATATGTCCCTATCCTCTGTCAATCTTTATAATTTCAAATTATAAGGACTTCAGGGAAAAACCACACATCTCAGTACTGCTTCTATGCTTCTGAAATACACAGAATCTTGCTCCTAGAGAATTAATCATTTTGAGTACCATGAACAACTATTTCAGACTCTACATACCCTGCATTTGGCAATCCTAGTTGTTAAAGGAGCTGGTCTTGTAGAACTACATTGACTAGACTAAGGACAATAATTCTTTTCTTGAAGCAGAATTGAAAAGCAGAGGTTATGTAAAATTAGTGGACACAATTAGTGGACTATAAAAAGATCTAATCACTGTTACACTGTCACTCACATGTATACCAGCTTCTGTGTCACTGAACCACTCAACATACTACAAAATACCACCCCAGTTTTAAATTAGAGTGGTATTTTTCTACATTTGCAGATCATGTTCTCTCTGAAAGTGATGTGATGGCAGCATGATTAGACAAACCTTTTCAAGATCCTGATCAAGATACCCATAATTGATACCCACATTTTCATGTTAGCCGTTTCCAAATCAGCTAGATGAAAGTTGTTCACATTTCCCCTGTAATGCTGACACGCTTGACAAAACCATAGCTGATAATTCAAACACCGTTAGTCACTTATTAGCAATGAATGGAGCATAATCCAAGCTATACCCAAGTATTCTGAATTTATAATAATTTTTTTAAAAGCTATCTTTTCTTTTTCCTTGAAAAGAAAAATTTGCCAACATTAATTACAGCTGATCTACAGTGCTAACTTCAACATTAAGTAGAAACTACAGGTGATCTAAAAACATATGACTGCAGAATTAGTTTTGTGAAAAGGCAATCCTGAAGTATCTATATAACAAACTCTATCCTGGGAGGAAAATGGACAATGACTTCTAGAAATGCTGATTAAAGTTACTGGGATTAATAAGAACTGACTGGATCTTTCCACTTAAAATACTTCATTAAATCAATAGAAACCTGTCACAAAAATATTTAAATATTAGAAAAAGTTGATGATTTGTTGATGTCCAAATCTTAAAGAAAAATTAACAAGAAAATTATCATCAATAATGCTTTGGATGTGATGGGTTACAAACTACACAAAGAGTTCAAATGTCTGTGTACAATGCTGAACCAGCCCACAAAGAATTACATTTCTGGGAGACATACAATATATAATTCTTCAGTATAAACACCAAAATAGAACATTGCCTCCACAGGCTCCTTTTCTTCAAGGGGTTCCTTCTATGCAGCCTCCTCCCACAGTCAGACCAGGCTTCCCTGTACCCTGTAACCTTCTTTGTTACTCTCTTAGCACAAGAAAAGTAACAAAGAAAAAGTGCTTTTTTAAATTTTTTTTTTTAATAAAACTTTGGTAATAAAGTCATGTTCTCCAGCTTTTAGAATGGCAGGCTATCCAGTTACAATTAGCAAATCATACTAATGGATTTTAAGTAGAATTATCAAACCATTTATTTGCCCTGCACTAATGGCTAGACATTTCAATTAAAAACAGACATCTTCCTTCAGTAGCTGGGCCAAAATCTGAAGGAATCCAGCTAGCAAATAGGAATACAAACAGATTAAGTAATGTTATTCTATGTTTTTGAAGCCTGGAACCTTGCAACAATAAGATTTTTGTTAATCTTTAGGCAATTGTATTTCTTTCATCATTTAAAAGTACCGTTTAAATCACCCACAGATTTTCTGTCAGAACCTCATGGGATGAATGGAAATCTCAAATTTTGCTCAGTTCTAACATCAATCTTTTTCTTCTAGTATAAAATGCTCTTTGATTTCCTCTAATCGGAATCCCATTCCATTTAATAGGTAGATCACGGTAGGTCATAATTTAGCAGGTATCTCACAGTGGTTACAGATGTTTCACATGTCTTTTTTTAATTTTCATGTTTAGGATATAATCCAGAAAAACTATACTTAAAATAACATCCCACACAGACCGTGCTTTCCTGTCTGATTATCATAAATAATTACAGGCAGAATTAACGCTGTGTTTTGTCACATAATCCCTTTTGAATTCGAATCTAATCGCTAAGCATTTCTTCAATTACATTCAGTCAATTCATCTAGAGACCTAACGCTTGCCTCTTTCAACTTTCTTTTTTACACCCTCTAACTGGGAACTCCATTTTTTCATATGCATAGCATTATTGTTACTGAGCCAAAAGTTTTCACACTCTTTTGTCTGTTTCTCATCAACACTAGTTAGATTATACTTCAAATTTAAAAACACCTTCTTTGTCAAGTTGCCCAATAATATTCCAGTTTTCAAAGCCATTACAGCAAAATATGGGCACAAAAACTACACAAAGACTATGTGATGCAAAACATATTAGACTGAAAATGGCCATCACAAAGGCACAGTTATTTTATTTTTATTTCCTTAGGATGCACAGCAGATAGTGAACTTGCAACAAATCATGAAATACCCTAATATTTTGGAATAAACAACTACTTTGCTGTTAAAAAGTAATGTACACTTCATTCTCAAGGAATCTTACCAATAGCAGACTCTTTAAAATGACTTGAACTGGAGCTGCTTGAGTTGTCCAATACGTCCAGCTCATCATCTAATTCAGAGAACATATCTGCACATAAAAATGAACATAAAGAAGATTTTAACCTGCCTCTGACCATCATAATAGTACCCCTGATACTTCTTTTGCTAATGACTACCTTTCTCAGAGTTCTCTGAAGTGCTGTGATGCTCTACCAGGTTTTCTTCATATATTCTTTCCTCATCTTTTCCACATGGAGATTGACAACTTTCAGCTGGGTGGTCAGTATTTTCAAAAAATTCACTTTTGCAACTGGCTACTCCACTGCTGCTCCTATGAAGACTCAACTTCTCATAATTTTTCTGACAACAAAGAAAAAAAAGGAAATGTTACACATTGTCCTTACCCAGCACTCATTAGAAAACCTGCAAATCAAAGTGTCAGTTGTGTATAAAAACACATAAAAATGTACTTTCTGTTCCCACTCAGCTGTCAGTCCAGGACTACATGGAACCTGGTGCAGCCACTGATTCTAATTTTAGAACAAAACTTTTGAGCTGTTAATCTAGACAAATTATTTCTAACCTTTACATAAAAGGCATCTTTGCTCTTGATGGTCTTTTCATAGCAAGCACTGAAAGTGAAGAAAATGAAACAAATGCCAGACCAGAAAGAAATACCAAACAACAACAACAACAAAAAAGACTGCACAAAGATAGATTCCCAGATACAAGCAACAGGAGATTTACTCTCTTCCAGCTTAGATAGTAAACAGCAGACCAGTTCCGGACAGCACAAAATCTGCACAACAGTCAAAATGGTAGTAAAATATGAAGAGAACATGATACAATGTGATGCCAGAGAGAATCCCCAAGGCTAAACTGACCAAATGCTGACTGGCACTGCAAAGCAGAGCTAAGAAAATCAAAATATGGAATAGAAATTATTTGCCTGTAACATTCAAGTGCTGAATCTTATCTGCAGAATGGGGTTCTTTAATGAGGATAAGACGCTGCTGCTGCCAATATTTATAGCTTTTCTGGAAAGAACAAAGATCCCTGATCCCTGTTATTGCTTCTATTTTAATACAACATATTTTGAAGGCAGACTGTTTTTATTATGTTTTTATATATTGTTCCGAGTCTTCTCATATTATTTCTGTTGGGCAAAATAAATTCATGCTTCTTTTTACTTTGTCTTTTCAGAGTAAAGTGTGATAAAAAAAAAAAAAAAAACCAAAAAAAAAACCCAGGAGATAAATTATATAAATATATCAGATTAAACAAATTACTGCCTTTAATATTACAGTAATTTCAGGAGATAATACTTATATCCTTACCAAGAGTGTCAAAGACAATTTGGTGTGTATCTAAGACAATGTTCTTCCAGAGTTTTTCCCATGAAATATTTTGACCTTATTGGTCACACAGCAAAATGGGTGCGCTGGAAACTCTTTCTCCTACAGCAACCTAATCTTACCCCTGAGCACTGACTATACCACTGCCTGTGTAATGGTCTGCTTCAATTACTTCCCCACCTTTTCTTCTGTTCCCAAAACTATAACTTAACTTGTAAGAGATGGCTTGTCAAGCTTTTCTCTCTAAATTTGGGTGGGAAAAGACCATTTTCTACTGAAGAACTGGACTGAGCTTACGTCCAAGATGCCACAATAACAGTGACTGCAGTGTAGCACAGCATGGCAACCACTAACAATGATTCTCAGGCTCACTTAAAGAGAGCAGTATAGTCTTGGCACATGAGCACACTTATTGTGCCCTGAAGAGTCAGTGCACAATTACTGAAGAGAACGATCTCACCTGTTCTACATCAAAGAAAAAAAGTAAAGAGAGAGAAAGGTCAGATTGCAATGGACATTTCAAACTTAAATCTCCTTTCAACACTGCCAGTACTGAACTTCACACTCAAATGACTGTTAACGGTAACTTGTAAATCAGGTGGAGCTAAGGGGATAAAAAAGGTCAAAAAGACTGCTGTTACCAATTGATGTCAGATCTAAGTCGTGTCATATAAAGAAAGGAAACCTGCTTGAAATGCATGAACTGAATTCTGTAGACCTCATGATAAAAATAATTGTCAGACCTGCTAGAGAAACTGTTCAGAGATCAGTGAAACAGATCCTAACGCCTTAAAGCAGTTATATAAACTGTAAAGCTATAACCTATCTATACATAAAATCTGGTCCATTTACATAATATCTGAACATAGAAAAACTACAGTATTTCATTACTTATCTAAGAGTAATAAATACATTTACTGCAATATATTTTGCCCTACCTAGACAATAGCTATTAATTTTCGAAAGTGAAATTACATAATATTGTTTCTCTTTTGAGTAGGGCACCTGACTGATTTAGAAGGACAAAAGTACCCTGACTGGAGGAGGCTGGGATGTGAGTTCAATGACACTTCTGCTCAGCATTGGAGTGGGACCATAAGGACCTAAATAAGGATGCAAATATATAAAGAACATGATTTTGTGAGAAGAGAATGGAGAAGTATTCTCCAACACCTTGAAACAAGCATTTCCATATGTCTGAGAGAGACTTCTTTCAGATAAGCAGAAAGACAGATACTTATCTTTTGAAATCTATGAAACAGTCATGGACATCACAATTCAAAACATCACAGACATTGAAACATGAGTTAGGCTGATATATGTTCATGTAAGTCCAGTATTTTACAAATCTTTCTGGAGGCTTCATCCAGTTTATTTTCACATTTTCATAATAAGCTAGTAGCTCAGTTTCCTCATGCATCAAATTGTTTGCCATCTTTGTTGAAACAAACACTGCTTTCTAGTATAAACACAGTTCAAACAAAAATCTAAGGAGAAAAGAATCTCTGTGAGAAAAATGTTCAGACTATGAACAAAATACTTTTTCTTTTTCTTTCTTTTTTTTTTTTTTTTCAGGATTCATCTTTGTTTATGACTGAGTAAAAGCATCTCTGGAAACACTTGAAATTTGTGTCCCAGCCATGAAGCAAGCTGTCTACAGGCTGAGACTCTTCATCCATATCCTGTATATTTGCACTCTCTCTCTTCACTGGTTACTATTACCACTGTAAAATCAGATATACTCTATTTTTGGAGAAGTGAAACCTAAATTGGTCTTTGCAACTTCCAACAGGAATCTAATCTTTTACAAATTGAAATTAACACCATACAAACAAAAAAACAAACAAGTAGGTTTAACTAAAATAAAGGTATTGATCTTTTGTTTAGCTCTGTTTTGTTATATTGCTGTCCAGAAGAATTAACTTTTCTGTCTTCAAGAAATATAGAGCTCTCTAGTGGCACTTGTAAACAGTAGTTAATTAATCTTCTTTATTAGAGACAAGTAATTACAGCATTATACTAGTCAACTGAATTTCTATTTCAAGAAAAAAAACCACAAACCTACTTCCACTCAAATTATTTGTAAAAAACTAGAAGATAGCAATAAAACGAGTAACAGCTAACGTGAAATTGTCACGAAAAAATCCATACTAAACCTATGTATTTATTTCTAGGAACAAGAAGTACATGCTATTATAATGGTTTTAGTAAGGCTTTTGACAATGTTTCTTATGACATCTTATAAGAAACCTAGTGAAGTGTGACCTAGATAAAAATCATGATCAGTTGGCTGTATAATTGACCCTAAAAAATCTACTGAACTTGGTAAGTGTTTTGAGTGTTTGTTAAACTGAAAATGGGTAGTGAACAGAATTTTTCAGGATCCCTTCTGACCTTGTTCCAAAACCATTCAATGTTGTCACTGAATTACGATGATAATCTGCATAATAGAATAGAGCACCTGTTAAATGAGACAAGACTGTGATACATTCACATCATATATCATATTACAGCATATACATTATACACAGAGTTGCATCAATGCAAATGACAATTGGAGTTGAAAGTTTTGAGAAACTGGAGAAACTAAAGGAACTGATGAAGTTTAAATAGCGAAAATGCAAAGTTTTATGAGCAGGGAAAAACAACTGTACAAATGCACAGACTGGGGAAGGATTGGTCAGACAGCAGCTCTGCAGCAAAAGTTAATGGGGATTTTGGTGGATCAGACCATGCTGTTACAAAAAGGTAAACATCATTCTGGGATGTATAAAGAAATGAATCATCCCTAAGAACTGTGTAATCTTTCTATTTGGTACAAATAAGGTTCTCGGAGTAATGGAGTTCAGTTTTGAACACTAAAAAAAAAAATCATGGAGAGACAAGAAGAGAAACAAGAATAATCTGAGGTCTACAAAACTCAACTTTTAAAGTAAGACTGATGGAATTTGATTATTTATTGAGTCCAAATTAAAAATTACAGAGGGGAGATACAACATATAAGAGAAAATAAATAACTCTTACATATTTCCACTGTGGGGAGGACAAAAAGCAAGCAACTTAAGCTGCAACAAGTAAAATTTAGTTTAGACCTTAAGACCACCTAACAGTAATTATGTGTTCAACTGTGGCATCTAACTGGGATCCTGCAGAGAGAAATAAGTGTTCATACACTATGTAACAAGTTTGAATGTGCTCAATAAATGTAGTGTTCTGGGGATATTCTTGACTTAGTGCTCTCAGAGCACTTATATGACACTTGAGAGTGGGTCTGAAAATTTCAAGTGTGTGGTGGTCCCTGCCGGGACCCGAGACCACACCGCTGTTGTCCCTCCCCCACCCTCGGACCGGACAGGGCAGAGAGTGAGATGCAAACCCCTGGGTGAGATAAGGAAAAATTTAATACGACAGTGTAACAAACAATAAACCAAACAAGAACAATAACAACAAGCAGTAATAACAGTAAACAGGACAAAAGATACACAGAGATATACCAACAGGGTAGAGCAGCCCCGTTGCAGTTACCCTCCAGGACAAAAGCAACACAGAAACTGTTCCTGCGCTTGGGCACCTGGACCTGACCTCAGCATGGTATGAATAACCTGGCTAGAGCTCCCTCCCCACTGCTGGGGAAACTTAACCCTATCCTAGCTGAACCAGGACAAAGTGTCATACACATCCCATATGTGCACATGCATATGCCCATCTAATATCTGCTGGAAACAAGACATACATAACCCATCTACTCTGTCAAGCATACAAAGCAAGACCAAAGTTTTCTGAAAACATCAGACTAACTGCACATACAGTATATATGATATATATATAATATATACACACATATATACAGTGTATATGTGCTATGGGTATGGCTACGGTTTCCAATTATCTTCTGACAGGGCTTCAGGCATCCTTATGGTTTTCCAGATGTTATCTTCAGATGGAAATAAAAGACTCATTCAGACATGTGACCACTGACTGTAAAGACAGGTTTTGCATTTCTGC